GAACTATAATAATATTCCGACCAACAACAACACTTACTGGACCAACAACAACACTTACTGGACCAACAACAACACTTACTGGACGTCCGGCGCGGAGAACAATTAACGAGATAATGAGAAACTGACGAAACGAGTTTCTTACTTTTAACAGCTTTTTCACAGAAAACTAGTTTTCGTACATAAGCTCCCTTTTCGTAGACCAGGTCACATATATATGTTTTCGGTATAGAACAATCCTAGGGGGTGAGAGCATAAAAATTCCGACTTTACTTTTCACATGCATTTTTGGACCACCCTAATGTACATACATTCAATAAACTTTTTTTTTACTTCAATGCAGTGTTTCGTTGAAAGGCAGAAGATTTAAAAGCCCTGAAGACATATCAGGGGGTTGCAACTGACGGCAAGCCTGTGCATCAGATGGTTGAGACACGGGTTCAATAGAAAGCTGTGACGCTGGTTCCTCAGAATGTTGGATATCAAGTTCATTACATTGTTGATTTATTGCTTCGGCGGAATGATTTGCCATATGTTTACGCATGTTTCGACTTGATCTAAACTTCTTAGCACAAATCGAACAAGTATATAGGTGTACACCAGCGTGTCTTGCTTCGTGTTCCTACAGACATTTTGGAATAAGCGTCTTATTACTATTTAATACATACATTTAAAATAGATATTACCCTTAATGCGATTGGCAGTTTGAACTCCTTGCTACAAACAGGGCATTTAAATTTTCGATCCGAATGATGGTAACGTATATGCGCCCCAAGGGAATGACGCGAATATTTTATAGCTCCACATTTGGAGCACGGATATTGTTTGTCGGGAGGCTCTTGACCATGTGCAAGCACATGTTTTTTAAGAGTATACGCGTTTTTTAGCCACTTGTTGCAGATATGACACTGCGCTCGAGTACGCGGCTCTGCACAATGTATGGCATCCACGTGACGCAAAAGATTGTGGGCAGCTTTAAAACATTTTCCACATATTTCGCACACAGACTCATATTCATTTAAATGGATGTTCTTTTCATGCTTTTTCAAAACACCAGCGCTGACGAACCTTTATTAAGTATAGAAATTATTGAAATAAAATTCAATCAACTGTACCAGTTCAATTTATACTTTACCCTTTGTTGCATGTTTTACAGATGAAATCACGTGTGGTTGTGTGCTTCGACTTCATATGATAGTCTAGTATATATTGTTTAACGAATTTTCGGGGACACAATTTACAAAAGAAATGCAAATCTCTCGAGTCAGGATGTTTTGAATCCATGTGATTCTGGTAAGTATTTCGGCTTGCCAGTTTTTTATTACAAATATGACATCTACACAAAAATTAATGTGTATGTAAATACATATTTTATAAAGAGCAAAGATTCAATAATAATTAAATAGAATCATGATTAAAAGCGAAATTCAATATCTTTGGTCATAAGCAATAACCGTCAGAGTCGAAAAACATTTTAAACATTTAGCTTGTAATGGTAACCTTATGGGGAAACCAAAATATGTTCGCCTATAACTTTTTAAATAGCCTAGCTAACGAGATGGGGATTTCACATACACATGGAGAAGTGATTGCAGAATACGATAGTATATACATATGTATAACTCAATTCTTTCTTAAGTTGTTGTTGTAGCGGCTACTAAGCCCCGCTAGGGTCGGTTCATCCGTCAACGTTTTAGTCCGTTTCAGCTAAGGGGAGGCACAGGAAGTGCGCGACTTCGACAGGGTCTGTCCATAAGGACAGGGGCGTCAGCTGGATGGGGTTCTCGGGGCATGTGAACAGGTGCCGAGAGTCATGTGGCGACTCTCCACATGCCGGGCATTGGTTGGGCACATTCTGATTAATTCTGCTCAGGTACGAGTTTAGCCTGCTGCAATAGCCAGGGCGAAGTTCGGCTATTGTGGTGCGGGCTCTCCCGAGGCAGACAAAGTTCTGTCCCGTCCACGTCAGGTGGTTGTGTGCCTAGAACGGCATTCACATGGCGGGAGTCTACATAACCTGAGTCTTTCTTAAGTCGACTTAGGCGGTTATTGCTAATGACCAAAGATATGTTGATCCACTTCAATCGTTTTTGAAAGAATTGAGCTACATGCGTTAATTTTTCATAAATAGCTGAAGGCAAGACATATTTAATAAGGTAGAAGTGACAACTAGTTCGAGTTCTCTTGTAGCTAGTTATAATAGCTTAGTTTTAACAGATAATTAACACAAATTATCACGAATTTCCGCTGGAAAGCTTTTCTTAACCCAAAAAACTAGCAGCTCTCTCTCGTTCTTACGCTGTCATTTTTTTGACTCTCCTGCTAATTTTTGCTAGTCACGTCAAGTCTTGAAAGCAATTTTTTCGCATTCTCTTTTGTGTTTTCTATTTGCTTCCACACGCGTCAACTTTAATTGAATTCAAGTCCTTGGTTCTTAAATTGGAAGCAACGAAAAGATCAAAAGAGACCAGAAAACTTGAAACGAATTGACGGTACGGAGGTATCTGTACTCTTCCCCTCTCTTCCCACCTCCTTCGCCAATGAACGAGCAGACTTGAAAGCAAGACTTGACGTGTCTGAAAGGGGACCTAGTAAAATTTTTACTAGCAGAAACTAGCAGCTGTCAAAATGGATGAACAAAAACTCGCGCCAAATATTAGGTCTGTTCGTCGAGCAAAAAATTTGTACGAATTTGTACAAATTATCACGATTTTTGCCCAAATCGCATTCGTGCAGACCAAAAAAATATCCAACACACAAAAATTGTGAGAGCAAAGTGACAGTTCTCTTGGAGAGAAGTTGCAAATTCCTGCTGGAAAAAATTTTGCCAGCAAGAATTTGCAAACATGAAAAACATGTGGTTGTGGCGCATGGTTGCATTTTTGTCCACGATAATTTGAATACATAAGTTCGTTAAATTTATAAATACGAGCGATTTTTTTATGAATACGACAATTTGAATAAATAAGCTAGTTAAATTTAAAAATGTATAAATACGAGCGATTTTTTTATGAAAAAGGAAGTAAATACTCGTTGATATAATTAATTTACAGCCTTATTCTGTATCATGAACGATAGGCAACACGAACGATTCGTCTGCAGAGGAATGCGTTAAAAATTAGTCCGGCGGCATCATTCTAGCCGGTTTAAACGCAACCGAGACCATTGCAACGTAATATATGAAAAGGAAGACGAAGACGACCGATAGAGTAATAAATCGCAATCAGAGATGCTGTTATTTGCAGACGAATCGTTCTTGTTGCCTATCGTTCGTGATGCAGAATAAGGCTGTTAGTTAATTCCAATGATTTTAACTTAACTCGGCTGAAAAAAATTTTATTCGCAATCGAAATGCAATTGCAACCAGAGTCGATTTAATAAAAACCCAACAGCTAGTACGATAAAGAAATTGAAATGTATGTTAAAGAAAGTCAGAACAAGAAATATAGATGTATATCCTGTCTTTGTCCATCTGAAAAATTTTTAAAAATTCTATAAAAATTTATTGTTTGAAATGCAACCGTGGACACCAGCTGGCAGGTTAACTTGAAAATTCCTGCAAATTTGCGTTCGTGCAGAAATTTCCAAGTTTCTCAACATGAGAGAGAATTTCTTCTTACTCTCTGATATTTTGAGTGTTGGATAATTCTTGCTGGATTTTCGACGAACAAACCTATTTTCAATAGTCAATTACATCGATCAACTGTTTACTTACTAGTTTCTGCTAGTATTGCGTTTCTTCAAGAATGATAGAATACAAGATTGCGCCAATGAGAGAGGATTTTTGAGCGTAATTTTTGCGTGACGTCATCTTGGTGCAATTGCGAGAGAGAAATACCAAATCGCATATAAAAATATGTAAACAATGCAGAAAAAGTGTTAATTTTAATATTACATGGCCCAATTTTGCAGGAATCAATAAATAAACAGACTGATTAATTAGGAGCACGTAGCAATAATTTTGGACATCTACCCCTTTAGGTAAGTACGATTTTTAGTACATGAAAAAATGGATGTGTTAACAGTGTTTGCAATTTCATGTAGACCAAAAGGAAGGTGTGCAGCAAAGTGAATTTTTGGACTCGACATTGTAAAAAGCCATGCAGAGTGCATATTTATATTTGTGGACGGTAGCCAACCACCATAAACTCCACAGCTGTTGACTCCACAGTTTTTATTTGATAACTTTTGTACCATTTCCGAGAGGATGAATGAGTGTGGCTTCTTTGTTAACAAATATTTTATGCAATTAAAACATAATTTAAGCTGAACTTTAAAATTTATAATAATTTGGGCATTGTTTTGTATTAGGTACGTAAGATGCCGCTGGAATTAGCGCCTGGCGACCTTATCCACTGGTGCATTACCTCATACCAGCACTAAAAAGAATCAGGTACTAATAAAAATAAGTAGGTAGTGAAGTTCATGTATCTATTTACTGTAGAAACTGCTTTTATATGTATGCCATTACCAGAAAACTAAACCAGCGACTGTCTACTTTCACCATGGAAATATACCTACTACAATTCACCAAGGAAAGGCCAACATAGTTCCATGTAGAAGCTCATAGCTCACACACATAGCACAAAGTTCGATTTGGTGTTTAATGTATCTCCTCGCCGGCACAACTGCTTCCACTTTTTCGCCAGATTTGCGTTCTTAGGAAACTAAAAAAACTTATCCGCACGCTTTCCTTTTGTTGTCACTATTACACTTTGCCACTGCAAACTTCGTTTTGCTTTGTAATGTCTCAATAATTGTTTAAAACCACGCAGAAATATTAACGCACAAATATTAAAATTGTTATTTGGTTTTTTCGTATGCTCACAACCAACAATTGCACCAAAATGACGTCACGCACAGCTGATTCTGCCGAAATCCCAAAGAGCGGATTAGCGGTACCACGATTGGCGCAATCTCTATTTCTCTCAATCGTGGCGTTTCTTTACTTTTTCGTTATTTCGCTCTTTGCGAGCGTAATTCTCTCAATTTTCCCATTCTTCTTCTTCCTGATGTTTATCTGCTAGAAAAGAAAAAAAACAAAGCCAATGTCAAAAACTGTAAACAAACAAATTAACCTTTTGAGGTGCGATGCTATGTTTGCTGCAAATTAGTATCAATTGAAACGCATCAGCATAAATTCATATATATGTACGTATACTAATTTTAAGAATTACTTCAATATTATCTTCAAAGAATTTTAACTGCATTCCCGTCTTACATGTACATATATATAAAGACAGAAACGAATACCTCATAAAGGAAGCCACGTAAATAAAACGAAAGAATTTTTTTATGAAACTGTTTTAAGCATTTTTTTTTTGTTTTTATTCGCCCAATGTTTTTGCGCCTTTAGTTTCTTATCTTTAATTCTAAAAGACATTCGACACTTATAAAAAAATTATTTAATGTTTTCTTGTAAGTTTATATGAAGATTAACTCTAGCAATTTCTTGATAAAATTTTTGCAATGGCAGATCTCTTTCCCGTTTAAGTTTTCCAAAATGTCTGGTATCATGTATGGGTGCGGTGACCATAAGTATGGATTCAAAATGAAGGACAATTTTACAAAAATATGCCTACATATATTTACGTAGTATAAAAATATCAAAAGAGTATTTATGATTCTAAATTCTTAATACATTTTAAACTTTGAAAGTTAATCACGTTTTCTTAATCGATATTAATCTTTTTTACATGAATATTTATAAAAGTATAGTAAAACTTATTATAATTACAATAGCTAACACGAAAAGTGAAAATCTTTAAAAGATTATTTTATAGACAAATTTTGAGTCGTTCAAAATGAAAACAATACCCTTTTTTTTTGTTTTTTGGTACTTTTCGCAGTTATTTGTCAAAAATCGACGTCATGAATCGACGTAAACGACTAGTTATAAAGTGCCCTTTACAAAAATATATAATTAGTGCAGATTGAGCTCCATAGCATCTACATTTCTAATCCGATTTTCATTATCTTTGGCTCAAAATTTACTGTAATGATATATCTTCTTTATCGAATTTTTAAAATAATAAAAAAAATAATCAAATGAAACGTATTTGCTTGAAAATCTCTCTTTTTTCGACTTTGACGACAAAATGCAAATGGTCGCCTTTAGCTCTAATAATTTTCATTGAAGTCGCCACAAGTTATATATTTTGGTATGAGGCACATTAATACCCTTCGAGCTGTAAGTCGCTTACGTTGATTGGGAGATTTTTTCATGAGATATTGAAGAAAAGCTACGAAAAGTACCAAAAAACACTTTTTTGAAAAAAAACCATCCATTGTCCGATAATAACGAATAAAATGCGGGACACATGCAGGGCACTTGGA